AATAAATTTATAACACTTTAAAGAATGGGTGTAGACTATATTTATTTTAATGGGGAAAAAGCAACTAACGTGAAGTGTCTTTCAAATCACAGCTTTCTATATTAGTCTCTGCAATCGTTTGCATCGATATCGATTGATGAAAGATTTAAATATCATCGTTTAACATTCTAACTTCCCAATACAGGGGTTAAGTTCAAAATAAAATCACAAAGTGTAATTAAAAATTAGACATGTTTAACATCTTCTCGCTAAAGTTTGGACTCAACCCCCCCCCCATGTGTCATTAATATCAGATATCTTTCTGAATGTACTAAAGAATTTTTCAAAAGGATCATTATCAAATGCTCTAGTTAAAACAATAGTAAGCGTATTTTAATAAATATTTTTGTACTGTATATTTAACTATCGAAGCCAATATCGAAAAGCAGCTACATATGTTTCTATAGTTAAAACTATTTTTTTTTTTTTTTGTTCTTTGTTCAATTTCAGATAGTTTAGAGACTTTCGTTCCAGTTATTTAAATATATATCCAGATGATTATTTTTTTTATCTCTGGAATTTTATAAATATTTAAATCCTCTTTGTATGTTTTATTTACTTTAAATCTTTACTGTTTATTGTTGTATATTTTCTCTTTAAGACGTTTAATTAATATAATTTTGTTTTTTTCTTGTGTTCATTATGTTACTTGAGAGAACAAAAGATACGACCTGAAAGATTTTTAAGTCATGTTTCTACGAATAAATTGAATTATTATTTTCTTCTGAAACTATAAATGGAAAAACCTTATATATACGAAGGCAAAAATCAGCCTTTTCATACACTTAACGTGTCTTTCAATTTTTCTAGAATGTTTTAATAACTAGAGATATATGATTCACTGAAAGATGTTCTACATTTGTTTTTTTTTGTTTTTTTTCTAGCAATTAAGACTTTAGATATGAAAATAACGTCCGCACGACCTTTACATTAGAAAGGAAATGAGCATTATAAGCAAAACAGTATTAACTCAAGAATAACATTCCGGTGGAAGGAAAAAAATATATATATATTATTGGGTTTTATAAGTGTCACTGATATTTGTATTAATTTTATGCACAATGTTTATTTTTTATTACTGTTTTACTCTGATTGTAGGAGTATAATTTGTGAAATATCTTATAAAACATGAAGAACTGATAAATAAAAGCGTGTTCGGAGCAAATAAAATATTTTTGTTGTTGGCCAATTTGATGTATAATCGTAGTCTTAAAATAGATACATTAATATATATGTACCATTGAATTTTTCAAGAAGACTAAAGAAAAAAAAAATAAACACATGTTGATGTTATTTTCGATGTACACTGCCACAGAAATGTCGAATACAGATTTTAAAAAGTAAAGAAACTCTGCCTCAATTTGAAATATTTTTAAAAACAGAATAGTGATGTGATAGTGCAATGTATCACTTCGTATCCACACTAGTAGACTTGCACAATATCCAATTCAATTAATTCACCTAAACTACACAAGCACTAAAAATAAAAATAATAATAATAAAATACTTGCACTTTGATGTTGTTTCTTGCACTCCTCATCTCTGGATGGTGAAGAGGACCAAAAAATTATGTAGGAAAAATTGTGTAGTGTTTTAAATGGTGCTGCTTGTCGTGGTGCTTTTTTTTTTT